ATACTGAGCCCTTTTTTGCACAATACTCCGAAAGTCTAATATAGAGGCCCGAGTCAATTTAGACAACGGGTAAACCAAATAAATGAGAGGGTGCACGCAAGTGCCTGTTGGAGCGATGCTACGCGTTCGATTTTCGGGTGCGGACTGGAATTTCTTCCCTTACCCGCCTGGTCGGGCACTTAAAAATGGTCTTCGCTGAGAAGATCAACGACCCAGGCGGTTTTCATGGGTTTGTTTTTATAGGGGGAATTTAGGGTGTTTTTGACCGTTTGTTGCAAGAAAGTCTGCAACAGGGACGTTCGTGTGATTGGTTACCTATATTGAAGGCAATCGGCCACAATCCGAATAAACGGCAAAACGTTAGAAAACGTATCGAACACGAAGGGAATGAGCCAAGGATGCGTCTTGTCACGGCCTCTTTTTGACATATAATCAGAAGCAGTATTCAGAGAAGCAAGTGACGAAGCAACAGGAGGAATAGTAGTGAATGGGAAGGTAAAAAATAGCTTAGGAGACGCGGATGACACCGTCTTCATAGCCAGCAGTCCATGTGAATTACAGATAATGATCCATAAAATGTCCAAACAAAGTGAACGATATAGTATTTTCCTGAACATATCTAAAACCAAGATCATGGTCGCCTCGAAAACACAAAAATATATTTCGCATGAGTTCACGAATTGTTCGATACCATAGATCATTTTGGCCCAATAGAATCTTAAGCTTAAGGAAAGCTTCAACTCGTTGATAACTCTATGGCAGGTTTTTGTAGTGTGATACAGCATCAATTTTTCATTTTGATAATCTAATGTTTCTATATCTTCTAGCATCACCGGCCATTGAACAAATTTGAAAGATTTATTCGGAAATGAGATCTGTAGATTTACTGTAAAGATGCGAGCTAACTCAGGTTGTTGAAAGTATGCTGCGTATAACCGTTTTGGATCAATAAATTCTTTCAAAAATTTTCCTATTTTTTTATTTAGGTCAGTTTTTGGTAACGCCACTTAAAAACGAGTATTTTCGAAAATTTGTGCACGTCTAAATGTGGCTTTATTGGTTTCGCCTGCAACTAAGATGAGCTGATTTTTGCAAATGTTTATCGGTTTTTCTGTTACTGGCAGATTATAAATTGAATTTTCTTGGGAAGAATGGATATTTTCTAGGTTAGTATAAGAGTTTTTGAATATGGGGGCTTTCAGAATATGGGGGCTTTATTTGTACGTCATATGTTATGTTTATATGGTTTTCGGCTAATAAAGGACATGAAATAACAATTTTTTACATACCTAACAGACAAAGTAACAAACGAAAAATAACAGTTAAAATTTCACATGCTGACAAAGAAACTGGTGGCGATGGAATAAGTACAAACAAAACTTTCAAATAAAAATAGTGGATTAGATATGTATGTACTTACAAATTTATATTTACACAAAATGTTAATATGTAGCGATACATAGAGGGTCTATTTATTAGAGCAGCTTCCACTTTGGTGCCATATAGCTTTATTCTCTTTTCGACACTTGGACTTGTCGGATTTACCTTTACAGCCACATCGACTATAGCTTTGGCCCCCTGTCTTGGATGACAATCTTGTACATTCTCTTAGTGAAATCTCTGTCTGCGGAATATCTTCGCCATATATCAACTTCTCATTACATATTGTAAATTGGTTCCTAGCATAAAATTGATTTAGAGTTCCGTTTTTCATGCCTAATTTATACAGATTAGCATCTGTTTCTTCAAGAACAAATGCCAAAATATTTCTTTCATCGGTGCGACCTCTGTCGACATTTGGGCCTCGAACTCTAACTGTGTCACCTTTTTTAGCATCAGGGTATTTTGAGTTAGAAGCTTGCACCATTTTTTCAGCTTGTTTTTAGATTGCTTGCTGAAATCTGCCTAATTTTTAATATGTCGGCTTTCCTTTCTTTCACATAGGGTTTTTTCGGGGAATCTTCATGCCCGAAAGATTGTTGAAAGTCTTTATTATATAAATCAGGGCTTGGTTTAGCTAGCAAAGTTTAAGTTTAAACATGACTATCAAGAATGTAGTAGTAGTAGTAGTAGTAGTAGAAAGTAGTTCCTCCTCGTCATGTTGACTTGGACCTGGTAGCTCCGCTAACACATGTGACTCTGGTTTATTTTGCAGTGGACCTTCTTCTACAGACTGTAAATGGTTCTGATCTTTTACTAGAACTTCTAAGTCCTCTTCACAATTTATATTATGCAGAACGTCTGTGGGTAAAAAACTTTTTAGACCAACTTTTAACT